GTTACAGAACGGTGAGTTAACTATGATGCTATATGTCAATCTGTTACAGAACGGTGAGTTAACTATGATGCTATATGTCAATCCGTTACAGAACGGTGAGTTAACTATGATGCTATATGTCAATCCGTTACAGAACGGTGAGTTAACTATGATGCTATATGTTACATCGATTTATTTAGGCCTCCTATGTTGTTCAGTTGCACATTCGTTTTTGTTGGACAGCATATCCACAAAATGTTTGACACACAAGTCAACACTGCAATAAACTGTCATGTACAGAATCAATTCATGTCTGAGTTTGTCGTTTGGTTATCATTTAAATGATGCTGATGCTATCATGGGTTTTATCGACAGATTTGCACTAAATTCAAAATATGCATTATTTTACACTAGTACGAATTTGTTGTAATTGCACAAAGTTTAAAGGGCATTTTTTGAACTGTTATGGAAGGTCTCAGGTTCGAGACGCTATGCTGTTGAATTATCCTCACCCTTACAGCTGTAGAAGCTTTGTAAAAGTGACAGTCAATCCAATTATTCGATTCCAGGAGGGAGCTGTTGGTTATTTGGCCTCCCTATGGTCAGTAGTCAAAAGTAGGGATTATACCTGAAATGTATGGGCCTCTGACATAGACCTGGTGGTTAGGGCGCTTGACTTGCAATCTACGGGTCGCAGGTTCGATTTCCATCCAAACATGCTCGCCATTTTAGCTGTGGAAGCGTTATAGTAGCCCGAGAGTTGGCGGTGGGTGGTGTTAACTAGCTGCCTTCCTTCCAGTTTATCACTTCTCGATCAGGGACGGCTAGAGCAGATAACCCTCTAGGATGTTTGCACGAAATTCAACAAAACAAACAAATTGTTACATAGTCGTTCAACTCACGTGTGCTTAAAGTATCTATGAAATTGTAAAATACCGACACCATATTCCAAGCAATGTGCACACTTTATTAATCACATCAATATTATAAGCACTGCTGGTTTTTTTTCGATATTTAAATTTATAAGTATGAATCCGAAAAAATTAATACTGAAAAAAAAATCCTAACTTTTTCAGGATTTTCTTCTCAAAGTCCACGATGCGTATAGCATTGCACTATTTATCATACTGTACTAAAGTATTTGGCATACTTACTTATTTCACCTCTCACGACATACTTACGTGGACGCTTGCAATTTGTAGTGTTCTGTTATGGAGATTTAGGCGTGGTTTTACGAAGAAACTCGTGTTCAACAGTGAGCCTGAAGAAAAGAGAATAGAACGTAGAACCTTCTTGTGAACGTCTGGTACTTGAAGATCGTGAATACATAAATAAAAATCAATTTTATTGCAAAGCATCTGGTATAACGGTGTTGCATTCAATAGAGGTTCGAATGTGTAACTCTAACCAAGTTATGCTCTCTTACAAAATACCTGTTTGCTTTTAAAGCAAATCCACATTGGACTATCTGTTGTGTCCACCGCTTTAGAATCGAACCCCGGATGTTAGTGTTTTAACTCCGTAGACTTGCTACTGTCCCACCAGTTGATACAAAACATCTGTTAGCTCTATAATGACTTACTTAGTGCTGTAGCTAAGAGATTCTAAACATGTGACAGATATGTTAATATAAATACTAGACTTGAGCTAATTTCATGTAGAATGTGAAAACAGCATCGGTAAGAGAAGAATAACAAACTTTATTAGTTAATCTAAATTAATATTTTTACCCTCCAAAATAAATCTTAAAAATAACGAACGTAGTTAGAATACATACTCTACAACTTAATATGACTCATAAGCTACAACATTATTTCTTGGAATTCCTTTACTGAAGAACTTAGAAAAACACACCACCACCAGCATGACATAAAGTCTAGTGATAAGTATTATCACTTTAAAATCATAAACAATATTCAACGTTAAACTGGTACACAATTAAAAACATTTTATTTGGGCCTATCCCTGGCCTTCAAAAAGTTGACGACTCTACATGTTTCAACGTTACAACGTCATACTCACAATAAGTATATATTTCACTGTTCATACTTCACAGTAAGTTATAATTCACTGTTTGCAGTAAGTATATATTTCAGTGTTCACACTTCACAGTAAGTTATAATTCACTGTTTGAAGTAAGTATATATTTCAGTGTTCACAGTAAGTGTATGCCAATGTTTATACTTCACAGTAAGTGTATAAGTCACTGTTCACTCTTCACAGTAAGTGTATAAGTCACTGTTTATAATTCACATTAAGTGTATAATTCACTGTTCATACTCACAATAAGTGTATAAGTCACTTTTCCCACTTCACAGTGAGTGTATAAGTCACTGTTCACACTTCACAGTAAGTGTATAAGTCACTGTTTATAATTCACATTAAGTGTATAATTCACTGTTCATACTCACAATAAGTGT